GGGGCTGTGCTAAGGGATGCTTGGTACACCTGTGGGCACTCAGACCACCTGTTCACTATGCCCTGTGGGGGACAGCTGGCAATGTCTGGAAACGGTGCTACTGACCCCTAGCAGGCAGAGACCAGCAATATTGCTAGACATCCTACAGTGCAGGGGTAGCCCCAATATCTGCAATCCTGACCCAGAGCAGGCAGGGTAGGGAGGGGAAGGGGCTGGGAAGTGACACCTGACAAGGGATACCACAGGCCCTTCAGGAAGCCCTGGACTAGACAGACAGTTCACAGCCACAGGTGTGGTGGCACATGGCCGTAATCCCAGCACTCAGGAAACTGAAGCAGGAGGATTGCCTGGGCTACATAATGCATTCAAGACCAGCCTGAACTACATAGTGAGACCCTGTCTCAAATAAATAAATAAACAAACAAACAAATAAATAAATGATTTTTTCTTAAAACAGGGACAGATCACCCAGGAAGGGCTGGGACCCAGAGGACACCTGCCAGAAGGGCCTTCCTGGCCAGGCAAATAGGGACACCTCACCAACAGAGCCTGAGCGCTGAGTGTTGCTGATGGCATGAGGGAGGGGCAGGGAACCTGGTTGTGGCTGCTGCATCACAGACCTGGCCCACAGATCCAGGGTCTGAAGTCAAGAAGTGTCCACCTACTGACAAGTAGAGCCTGTGAGGGCACAGACCAAGACACAGGAATGAGGGGGTCACAGCTTCACACTGGCACTGGAGAGGTGGCCTCCCTTGTGGAGCTGGGAAAGGACACATCAAGGAGTCTCCATTCCTTAGCGGGGTCTGGGCAGGATGTCACTCAGAAGTTGCTTGCATGGCTGGAACCAGCTCCTGGAGCTCTGAAAACATTATGGGCCACAAATGGAGACTCAGGTGACAGAGGAAGCCCCTCATGGCTCCTCTAGCAGCTTGGCCTTTTCCTCCCCACTGTTATCTCATTTCCTTTATACACGTATTTGTGCCCTGCAAGGTCAGACTGCTCAATGGCTTTCCAAGAATATGCATAATAATGCCTGGCACACAGAAGGCCTTGATATCTGCTAACACACAAGTGTCAGGCAGGGGAAGAGAAGTGCACGGGAACAGAGGAGGAGCCAGAACTGAAGCAAGGGAACCTGGGAGGCCAATGTCAGGGACAGTAGGGACCCCATGAGAAACCCTGAAAGGTCCAACTAGAGAGGGCTGGAAAGAGCCTCTTGAGGCCATAGGACCGTGGGTTCTGAGGGGCACTGGACACACCAAGTGGGCAACTCACCCAGCCCCTATGGAAGCCTTTCTCTCAGTAATAGTCCCAGAGGGGTACACAGAGCCAGAGGTCTGGGTCCCCAGCCCGGGTAGCCCAATCACCGCTGGAATTTTCCAGACCCAAACACAACCACCTCTCCACCTGGAGCCCCCTGGACATCACTGATCTACCGTGAGCTAAACTGAGCCCTTGTCCCCCATACCCCTCACCTCCTTCAGTGTCCCATTTCACCAAGGGTTCAAGCCACCCCACTAGTCACTCAGGCCCCCACCATGGAGTTGGCTGTGTTACAGTCCTCCCAGATTCTCCCTGACCACTCCTCCCGCCTCCATGGCTCCACTCTGGTACAAGCTGCCCCCAGGCCTCAACTGCTGGGCTGCTCTCCCAGCTCTACCCCAGCTGCCTCTCCTTGGTCCTCATCACCACACCTTGAAAACCTGACTCAGGTCCTATGGCTCCAAGCTCAGGGTTTATCCAATGTCCTCCTCATGGCTGACTCCCTGAGCCACTGTCCCAGACACCTTTCTAACCTGCCCTCCACTCTCTCTGGCTCCAGCTGGCAACTGTTCAGACACTCGTGATCAGGACTCTTTCGCCTGCTGTCACTCACTAGAATGTTCTTCCCCATACACCTGGGTGCCCCTGCCACACAGGCCTCAGGTTTCTGGTCAAAGGCCACCCCTGAGAGGCCTCCTGATCACCCCTCCAGCCTCTCAGGGAGCTTACCTGCTTTGTCACCAAGGGGCTGGGCTACATGTTTACTCAACTACTGTCCCCTCCAAAAATGCCACTGCATGAGCACTAGGGCATGTGCCTTAGAGCCTGCAGTGCCTGGCACACAGTAGCCCCTCTATAAGTATGTGAAGAATAAATTAATGAGCCTTCTTGCTATGGTTTGAATATAGTCTGATTTTTGTTCCCCAAAGGTTCATGTGCAGGGAGCCTGGTCCTCAGTGTGGCAGTGTTGGGAGATGGAAAACCTTTAAGTGAGAAACGGCAGTAGGGGGTTAGGCCATGGAGTTCCACCCTTGGAAAGGATTGATATGGGTATCACAGGACTGAGTTAGTTCTCTTCTGAGTAGGCTGGTCCAAAGCACTTGACCCCCTCTGTACATAGCCCTTTCCCTTTTCACTTCTTCATCATGTTTTGATACAGCCAGGGCACACTCAGCAGGATGCCAATGCCACATTTAGAACCTCCAGCTACCAGAATTGTGAGGCCCCAAAAGCTCTTTACTTTATAAAGTACCCAGCCTTGGGTATTTTGTTATAGCAACACAAAATGGGCTAATACACTCTTCAAGCCCCATTTTCCAAAGGGAATAATAACAGCATTTGCAGTGAAGACTCAGTGAAGTACTGCATGAAATGCACCCTGCACAACACCTAACCACAATAAGTCCCTTCAAATATTGGTAGTCCTTAAAATTTAATAACTATTATGTAAGTGTTTTTATGTATGGCCTCTTTACTGCTTGTGGTAGGGCTTCTCTTCCCCAGCCCATTACAAAGCCAGAGCTAAAGCCCTACCAGCTTTCCCTGCCTCCAGATGCTGCTGTGGCTCCCCCAGGGAAGCAGCCCACTGAACCACAACATTATGTCCCTTTCCTCATTCTGAAAGGACTTTGAAGGCCTCGCTCTCTTTCCCACTAATGACCACAAGCTGTTCTGGTGAATTTTTTTTTCAAAATGAATCAAAAACTTATGGCCAAGAAAAAAAAAACTGCTTATGCCAAACACATATGCAAGCTGCATATCTCCAAATCCTACTGCATCTGTGCATCTGAAGCCTCAGCTGTTCTGGACATCTCGATGGGCCATGATGTAGCTTCAATACGAAGTACGCAAAAATTCACTGTTGGAAGGACCATCAGGAAACGAGCAAGAGGGCTTGTGCATGAAGAAAAGTGTACCCAGGACCACAGTTCATGTGCCAGCCTGGCCCCTGGTATTCAGAGACCTGTGTGCACTTGAACAGTCAGGCCAGGCCAGCAGGGAACCAGAGGATGAGGATCCCAGCCAGCTGTAGGAGCCTGCAGGGAAAACCTCATGACCAGGAAAGAGCACGCACACCTGAACACCCCCATTAGTAGGACTACAGTGGTCTGTTAGCTGGGACCAATAGCCTTTCTTTCATTCTTTCTTTTTTGGTTTTTTGAGACAGGGTCCATGTAGTTCAGGCTGGCCTTAAACTCACTATGTAGCCTAGGCTGGCCTCAAACTCATAGCAATCCTGCCTCAGCCTCCGAAGTGCTAGAATTACAGGAATGCCTGGCTCTCAACAGCCTAATATCCTGTATTCATTTCCTGTGTCTGCTATAACAAATTACCATAAATTTAGTGGCCAGACATGTAGTCTCTCAGAGTTCTAGTGGCCAGAGACTGGAATCAGCATCTTCACCCTCAGTGTTCCCTACCTGGGGTGCTGGCTCCACCTGCGCAGGGGGGCCATGGAGAAGGCACAGGAAGAGTAGGGAGCAGAGGTAAGAGTGACCACATCAGGCACCACTGGCGCCCACCCTTGCTGGCAAGACGGGGTCAGGGCAAGGCCAGCACTGGCTAAGGCTTCTCAGGAGCATACTCTGCTTGCTGGCCTGGGTCCTACCTCTAGAAGCAGGTCCACATCTTCATCGAAGACAGCTCATTTAAGAGGTGGCTGCTGTGAAGTGAGCTGCCTGCCCCCACACCACTCTCACCAGATGGAGAAAAGACCCAATCATAAACTAGATGAAAACATGTCCTGTTCCATCCTGGGACTAAGGGCTCACATTAAATGAAAACAGACAGGAGCAGTGTGTTGCCGACGCAGATCTTGGCCTTCTGCAGATTAGCCTCAAGGGCAGTCACTGGGTGTCTGAGGCTCTGCATCAACAAGCCCCAATGCCCTGATCCTGGGATTACCAACTAGACTATACCAGGAGGGGTGTAACAAAGAGCCTTGGCAAACCACCCAGGACCACCTTCCACAGACACCCACAAGACAGGGGCCAAAGACCCCAAGCACTTCACCTGAAATCTTGATGGGGGCAAGGGGAGTCTCAAGAGAAAGGCTGTCGCAGGACCAGAGAAAGGCTTCAGGCCAGGCCCTTCTCCTCACCTTCCTCCAAGCACCCAGAGCCTACTGCCCACCATGTGAAGCCCTTGGGCCTCCACATGTCCCCTTGTGTCCAGACTGAGACGGTGCCTATCATCCTGATTTCAGGACCCGAGGGCCTGTTCTTGCCATCCAGCAGAGCATAAGCTCCTTTTCAGGAGGCCACATGTAGAAAAAGAACAATGAACCCAGGAAGAGGAGGTTTCACAAGAAAATGACTCTATGTTGACAGGGCAAACAGGGAAGCGAGCCCCTACAAGCCAGGCAATTGGCTTTATGAATAAAAAGGCTACTCATGAGAAGGTTGGGTACTTGAAGTCCTCACCACCAGGCAGCCTTCCTCTCAGGCTCTGGTGACACCAGGAGGGCCAGCTCTGCTGCTTGGACCATCCAACATCAGCCCAGGGCAGCCTGCTGGTGCAAGGCAGAAGCTTTAGCAGTGCGCCCTCATAGAAGCAAAGAAGGGGTTGGTAGGAAGGCAAGGAAGCAAGCATGGTAGGAAAGCAAGGAAAAGGATGGTGATGGATGCAAAAGGGCAGAGCAAAGCAGAGAAGCCATCCATCCATGTGTCTGGACAGCAGAAACCACCCCCCCACTCCATGCCAGGTTCACCTGCTGTGTTAGGTGCAAGAGCACTCACCACATTCCAGAAAAACGGATTGAAAGCAATGGTGAGAAAGGCCACCACAAAGCTGGGATCCAAGGGGTCCACGTAGTGCAGCAGCCAGGTCATGACGCAGAGATCTGCCTGCAAGGAAGAGCAGCATCAACCAGAGGTCACCCAGTGCCACTCAGAGATAGCGAGGACCTGGCCCAAACATGGAGACAAAGTTACCCTCCGGGAACAAGCCAGGAGGCTCAGGAACACCCACATCCAGCCAAGGTTACCACACTGTAGTCACAAATGGAGATAAAGAGCAAAAACCCAGTCAGCTGTGTCGTGCCCTGTCAGGAGGGCAGCTGGGCTGGCAGCTACAGAGGCGGGCATGGCACTCACGGGACAAGGAGCTCAGCAACTCTGAAGATGACCTCTTGCACCCCCAAAGGGAAGTGACACCAGGCCTGGTATGACTGGGGCCCTGCAGGAAAAGGGTCTCAGGGGTCCAAAGGAAACTCAGGAGACCAAAATGTATGTGAAGAGACACTTGGCCTTACCAAAAATCAGTAAAAGCAAATTACAAAAGTAATGTGCCTCTTCTCACCAAACTCAACAAGAAATCATCTAGAGTGTCGCTGAGGGTTGTGGATAGGATCTAGCAGACTGAAAAAGAATGTTGCCAGGTCTCCACAGCCCAGTGGCCCACATGCCACACACAAGCACATGTAAGCATACTCCTGCCAGCTTGCAGGAAAATGGTCACAACAATCAGAGATACCAAGCTGGACCAAGGTGAGGCTCACTGGTAGAGGCTTGGCTAGCACATATATTATATATAAAAAACATCCTGGATGCTGTCAACAGACAAATAGAGAAACACAATGTGGCCCGTGTATAAAATATCAAAGGCACAGTTTTAGCTCAGTGGTTCCAGCACCTTCCTTGAAAGTGCAAGGTCCCGAGTTCAATCCCCAGTACCAACAAAAACTAGATCCATGCTGGACATGGCAGCACACTCCTGTAATCCCGGCACTTAGGAGGTTGAGCCAGGAGGTCCTGGGCAACTGAGCAAGACCCTGTCTGTCTCAAAGTTTTTTAAATATATTGTTGGGGTTTTTTTGTTTTTTGTTTTTTGAGACAAGGACTCACTATGTAGTTCACGCTGGCCTTGAACTCACTATGTAGACCAGGCAGGCCTCCAACTCATAGTGATCCTCCTGCCTCAGCCTCCCCAGTGCTAGGATTACAGGCATATGCCACCATGCTCCGCTAAAATAAAAATTTTAAAAAGGGAAGAGATGTAGCTCAGAGGTAGAGTGCTTGCCTAGCACACACAAGGCCCTGGATTTAATGCCCCACACTCCAAAAAAACAAAGACGAAAATGTGATGTACTGAATCCATGATCCTGCTGCCTCTGAAGCAGAGCTTCTCAACCTCAGCACTGCTGACACTGGGGCCAGATGGTTGCACTGCAGGACTGTGCATTCTGGGATGTCTGGCAGCCCCACTACCCTCCACTCACTGATCTCCTACCAGTACAACAACCAAAACATGTCTCTAGACATTTCCAAAAGGCCCCCGGGAGCAAAGTCCCATGCAGTAAGACCCTGTGCTCTAGGGGCAAGAAGATGCCTTAAAAGGACACTTTCAACTTCTTTCTTTAAAAAAGATGAGGCACCTTTGACTTTTTTTGTTTAGTTTTGGTTTTTTGAGACAGGGTCTCACTATGTAGTTCAGGCTGGCCTTGAACTCCTGGCGATCCTCCTGCCTCAGCCTCTGAGTGCTGGGATTACAGACGTGCAGAACCACGCCCAGCCAACTTTGACATGTTGAGTGGTGAGTCCTAGCATTCTTCTTGAAACTTTTCCCTTTTTTTGTTTTAGAAAGAATTTAAAGCCAGGCACTTTGGCATTGGGCTATAATCCCAGGATTCTTAAGAGACCGAGACAGCAGGATCTCAACTTTGATCCCAGCCTGGGCAACTTAGCAACTGAGACCTTGTCTTGAAATTGTTTTTTAAACTTTTTTTTTTTTGGTACCAGGGATCAAACTCCGGACCTTGTGCTTGTGAGGCAGGCAGTGGAACCACTAAGCTAAATTCCCGGCCTGTTTTTTAAACTTTTAAAAGGGCTGTGAAGATCCTAAGATCCTGTGAAGCCTTACTTCAACCAAAAACAAACAACAAAAAACAAAAAAAAAGAAGGAAAGGAAGAAAATAGCAGATGTCTCTTCGAATACAATTAAAAGTAAAAATCACAGTAGAAGATACAGTAAGGGATAACCCTCACTGTGGTGACCTTTCCCAGGCCTGCTGTGATGGGGTGTTTTGCTTTGTTTTATTTCAGAGTATAATAAATTCTTTCAAAAAATGTTTTATCTTCCACTTTTCAGGGTGGAGTGCTGCTCTGCATTGCCTGTACCCTACACACCTACAGGGCTCCCAGCCCAAAGGACCAGCAGTAGCCTTCTCCCCAGTTCTTGCTTCACCAAGCAACTGCTTCCTGGCTAAGCTCAGCCTGCCATTCAAACAGCACTGCTGAATGTGACAATAGGAGCATTCTAAAAAGTCACTAGGGGTGCTCACTTTGGCAGCACATAGACTAAAAAGTCACTAGGGACTAGGTGTCAATATGAAGCCATCTTCCACTCTGGCCTCCTTGCCCAGTCAGCCTCATTTCTCAGGCAAATCTTCACCTCGCTATGGGGCCAAGGCTGGAGCTAAGTAGGTATTAGAAGCTCAGATACAGGATACAGTGGTCCCCCTTGACCATGAGCCGTACATCCCAAGATCCACAAGCGCAATAATATGCACAGAACCCACTTGGGAAATGGCAGAACAGTGAGCCATTCAAAGCACAGCCTTGCCCAGGGCTGACCCCAGGACTAGGCAGTGCATGGGCATCCAACTAGCCCACCAGATCCCTGGAGCTGCTAAGCTCCTGCAGCAGCATAGCAGAGCTCTCTGGCAAGCCCCTCAGCAATGCAGGGCTGAGGCAGGGAGCACCATGTGACCCAGGGCACACACCACTCCCGAGAGACACCTGCCCTGACAGGAAAGAATGGGACAGAGGCCAGTTAAGCACATCTACAGCTTCTAGATTCAGGGGCTCAATGGGAGCACCAGTTTTTCTTCTTTGACAATAACATTTATTAAGCACCCTCTGACTACAAGGCCCTGCACACTGATGGCTGGGAGCAGATGGACAGGTGTGGGGAGTGGAAGGCACTGGCCTAGGACCAGACTCCTGACTTTGTGGTCACTTCTTCAATGTGAACAGCATACTCTCAGCCAGTGGGAAGCCCTCACTCACCTCCACCCCTTCTCCTGATCACCATCTCAACCTCCAGCCGGAACCTCACCTTGCCTCTGCCACTGTCCCACCTTGCCTCATTCTCCTGTCCAATCACCTAATCTGTCTTCCTACCTCATAAGTAGCCACCCAATCCATGTCCAGCATCCTAATCCCAGGTATAGCAAACGTCCCTGATAGGGCCTCACGACCCACTGGCCACCCTCACCCCAGCCCTCCTGACCTACACATGGTGCACCACTCCTAGCACACACTGACTGGCAGCCTGAGTCACACCCACTCACAGGCAGACCTCCCACAGCCTGGCCAGTCCTTCACCTGCCACCCCAACCATTCACTCACACAGGCCCTTTCACAACGCACATGCCTGTAATGTCCCTCTGTACCTCACTAGCAAACTCCTATTCATCCCTCAAGACCCAGCTGAAGTATTTCTCTACCTTCCACCTAAGGTACTCACTGTGTCCTTATTGTATGCCTATTGCACTTATTTTATTATTATTCCTGTTTCTGTAACAGTTCCTCAGGCTAGAGACTATTTTTTTATTGATATTTTTGTCTCTAGTACCCACCTCCCTGCCAACACAGAGTAAATGTTTGCTGAGTGGCGGCTGCATTTCACCACCAGTACAGCTTGAGGGCTAATGGTTGTCTCTAAGGGGCTCTCAGCCACCTGTGGTCTCCTCCAATCTGGCTTTGGAAGGAGGTACAAAATTGCCAGAGCAGCCCCTATGGAGATTCTGCAAGCAAGCGGGCAGCCAAGCAGCCTGGGATAATTAACAAAGTCCTCTGAGGAAAGGGGCATAGGTTCTTGTGAAGCTACAGAGCCTGATTCAGCAGCCACTCAGACACTGGGCATCACAGATGGTTGTTTTTGGGGGGGGTTTTGGTGCCAGGGATCGAACTTGGGTCCTTGTGCGGCAGGCGGTGAAACCACTGAGCTAAATCCCCAGCCCAAGACGGTTGTTTTTATGACACATTTTGGGGCTGAGCCATGGGGAAGGTTGGGAAAGGAGAGCGCTCTCCAAGGTTTTGAGACCACAGGGATGAAACCTCAGCCAGAGAGCCTAAAGTCCCTGGTTGAGGTTCATCTGTCCCTAGGTGTGCAGCTGAGTGGTAGGTGTGTTGGGAAGAACACCAAGGATTCAGGGCCATGGCTAGGGGTAGGAGGCCTTGCCCTGAATGTCACTCCCCACACACCCCTGCAGCCACCACAATCCCTCTTTGCCCATAAGCCAGCACTCCCCATACTCTGGGCCCTGCAGCTCCCCATTAAGGACAACTGGGGGGCTGGGGTGTGGCTCAGTGGTAGAACACATGTCTCACATGTACCAGGCCCTACAGGTCCCATCACAATACAGCAAAGAAAAAAAAGAAAGTCCCCATAGGAGTTTACAGGGCACTCTACTGATGAGGATTTTTTGCTAGCCAGAACACCCCTTGAAGGAGCGTTCTACATGAGGCACCATTCTTCTGCACTAGAATTCTCCAGTCCTCAGTTCTCCTGAGGTACTGAATGTCAACGTGATAGAAACTTGCTCCCCACAGGAAGGGTCTGCAGTGGGCTGCAGTTGAGTCTCACTGAGCAGAAAGACATGAGATAGATGCTTCCATCCTCCTCCTCATTTTACAGAGGACTAATCTGAGGGCAGCAGCTGCCCAGGTGCAGGGTTCCAACCAGTGCTATCTCCCAGAGGATGCTCGGGGCACTCCTGTTACTGCTGCTGGTAAACTGCCAGGCTCCAGATGGGCACATGGCACTGGCTGTATACCTACCAAGCTAGTGGCAAGAGTAAGACAAGTGTGCACTGCACCAGGACCACCAGCTTGCCCCACCT